CCCCCTACCCCTGCCCATCCAGTGCAGTCTGGTCCTCCCCTCCCTGACTTCTTCCTGTCAAACCAACTGTGCATTTCAGTCCTTTTCATGGACTTATTATTGTGAACTTCCACCAGGTGAGCTATGGGCGGCGAGGTCACTTACGACTGGAACGCTGTGCAGGCTTTTTATGATTGAAACATACTTAGCGGACGATTTCATCAATGTTTGTACAGAATATAAAAATGAACTAGCAAGTGGAAACGTAGCCAGAGGGGCAGCTGGGCAACTGGCCCTCCCAGACACACAAGAAGCACCCTTCCAAAAATGCCAGGGCAACACTGAGAAGGCAGGCCTGGGACTCAGCTCAGCAAGAGTTCAGAATGGCAAGGACAAAATGTTTGGATCTCCTAATGCAATCCAGAAATCATGGAGCTTGGGACTGAGGACTGGGGAGCGGTGCCATTCTGGATGTAAAGAAACAGCAAATCTGACATAGGCTACACTGTCAGTTTCACATCCAAGAACGCTGTGTTGGTGATAAGAGTGTAAACTCAGATGCAGGTTCTTCAATTCATTTATTCATTCAACAGGTGTTCCTTAAGCACTTTCTGTGTGCCAGGCCCTGTTCAGGCACTAGCATGCAGCAGTGAACAAAACACATACTCACCGCCCTGATGGGGCAGACAGTGTGTAATACGGAGCAAGGGGACAGAGGCTGAGGGGAAAGACAGTTCCGAATAGTGTAGACAGGGGAGCGACAAGTGGTGTAGATTTCTGGGAGAAGACTATTCCTTGCAGAAGCGACAGACAGCGAGTGCAAAGGCCCTGTGGCAAGAACGAGCTTCGCCCAGTTGAAGAACAGTGGGAGGTCAGTGTGGCTGGAGGGGCACGAGCAAGGGCGGGAGTGAGAGGAGATGACTGGACAGAAGAGGGCAGACCATCAGCCATCATTTGGATTTTGGTGTGTACTCTGGGTCAGGTGGGGACACGGGAGGGTTCTGAGCAGCAGATTGACATGTTTAATTGATGTTCTAAAAAGATCCCTCACTGCTATACAGGGATTCTATTGGGACAAGAGCAGAGACAAGGTCCTGTTCAGGAGTTAAGGTGAAAATAACCCAGGTGAGATCAGCAGGTGGCTTCAACTCAGATGGGCAGTTGGAGGTGCTTGAAGCCAGTGGCAAGCTTTGAGGAAGAGAAGAATTAGCCAGCAATCTGTCTAAGACTTGGAGGACCTTAAGTAACCCCCAACACCCTCTGTGGGGTCTCAGGAGCTGTGTCAAGTGGCGATCCTTTCAAGGATCTAGAAATGTTTAGCCTAGGAGAGAAAAAAAGAGAGATGCCCTTATAAGGAGGACCACTGTGGCCCCAGATGAGGGAGGGCCTGTGTCCGGCCCAGATCTCCCACCGCGGGACAGACTGCTCCCTGTCACTGGAAGTGAGGCCTCAAGGGACCCCCCTTCTGGGTGCTGTGGGCACTGGGGGCCGCGCCGGATCACAGTCGCCCATGCATTGCCCTATCGCTCCGTATGTGTGGGGTTCTCTTACCAGCTGCTGGGCTCTGAATATTGAACAAGGTCTAGCCCCAGCCCTCAGAGAAAGGAGACAGTGTTGGGTGCTCCAAGAGGGCAGCAGTTTTTCTAGAGGGGCTTCCGTCCAGACTTTGGGTGAAGAGCATGATGGCCCCAGCCAAGTTTGGGAGTACGAGCACCCTTAGCTACAAAATGTATCTGTGGGTCTGTGTGCATGAGGGACCAGGGGCGAGGAGAGAACCGGGCACCTTCCTGGATGTGGAAAATACGACCAGCGTCGGGGGCTGAGGAGGGTGCCCCCAGCTCCTAGATGGGCTTGTTCTCTGGAGCCGGGACGAGGCAGAGGCATGCGAGGTGAGCCATGCGTGGGTAGGATGCAGGCCGGTCTTTATTTAAAATTTTGACATTTTGCTTGTCGTGGATTTTTTGCATAATTTTTGACTTTTTAAATATTGCGCCAAAATATTCTTCGTCTCCATTCCTGAGTTTTTAGGGCACGCCTTAAATGTGGTGTGCAGACACTGCCTCGCTCGCCTCACCCCAGGCTCAGCCCTACTCTGGATAGGGGGTGCTTCCCAGTGTGGGGCGGCTGGGGACAATGTGGGCTGCTTGCATCTTAAAATTAGAGGAAG